TGTATGATATCAGAGTGCTGAATCATGAGCACTGACTGTAAATTCAAGATCACTTAACAGAGCTGTTAAGTAATTATATAAGATCTTCACTACAGGATTCAGACTGTATAGACTACTCTCAACTATGCAGACAAGTGTTTTCAGTGAATCTGTCTCAAATCTGATAAATTGTCTCATATAGACCTTATTAGTGAGATGCTCATGCAGATATGTTATCACTATATTCACTTGATAGAGTGTTCAACTGTGTAGTACTGCTATTGCAAAAAGAATACAATTGATAGTATCAGTGATGACAGAAGTATAGATCTCTTCTCTAGAATTCTTCTTAAGTCAGTTATTATAAATCACTCAACATGATTTTCTAAGAATATCATCAGAATTAGCATTCAGGTCTGCAGATCTATCTTTCTTAAGAAACACTTAACAGTCTGAAGCAATCAGTTCATCCCTCAGAATATCAGATCTAGAGATCAAACTTCATGTATTGTGTCTCTTCAGGTTAATAATCTCACATTGCATGAACTTCTTTCAATAATCTCCTACTCTCTCTGACTGAGATATGACATTCTTGTAGAACTTCAGAAGATTGCCTGTAATAAGACTTGAAGTGTAAGTAGCCAGCAATTTCACGGGCTGCAATCATGCAGAATTCAGATCATTAATATCAGAAGCATCTTCATTATTAATCAGATAAATATCAGGTTCTGATTCACTGATATTATTAATGAGTGTCACAGATGTGACAACTAGTTCTGATTTTTCAGTGATTGAGAACCTGACATCACTACTGACAATAATCTTGTCAGATTCAGAATGTCATAGGCGATATATCAATGTGTCACTGAATTCAATGATATGATATGAATCAGCATGTGAAGAGAGCTTATTCACAGGCCACTGAAATCCATGCAAGTGAACAAAAACCTCTGCACTTAATCAGTGAAAATGCCTCACATTTGATGAGATATTTATAAGTACACATTAAGAAATCTTATATAGACTTAGAATCACAGAGATCTCTGCAGTAGAGGGTCAAAATTTCAAGTTGTAAAGAACTGTAGATGTGAGAGTATTATTGATTATTATAATCACTGTCTCTAGAATATCTGCTCAGAACTTCTTAAAGAGATTATCTTTCAAAAGAGCAGCTCTAATCTGTCTCATAATAGTATGAATTTCATGTTCAGAAACATCATTCTGATGTGATGAATGTAATGCTGTTGATTCTCATTTGATATCATATGAATTCATAACTGTGTGTATACATGTGAATTGGAAAATATTATCAATATCAGTCTGTAGAAAAGCAGGGGCTGTATACCTGAGATTACTCATGAATCTGAGCCACAACTCAAAGTATTGAACAGTCTCATTCTTAAACTTCAAAAAATATACTCAATGATAGCAGATCACATCACAGATAATAAGCATTCAGTATTTAATTCTCTGACAGAACTCTAAGAGATAATCAGAGAGATCTTTCAATGTATGTCTATCATCTGCAAGATTAATATGAATCTTCTCAATGAGTTGAATAGATCTAGGCATTGATGTTTTTGAATAATCTTGTGTCATACCTGTCTTGACACATTCCTTGCAAAAGAACTTAGTCTTAGAACTCTTAATTATGACTTCAGTATAGAGATTCTTAGCCATAGCAATTATAACATCAGTGTGAATGTGACTGAGATTATAATATCAATTTAAAAGAGTCTTTGATATCTTTGATATCTGTGTTCTTATGTCTGCAGAATTGACATTATTAACAGTAGTAGCAGCAGTCACAGAAAGATCAACTTTTCAGTCAAAATTGTACTTGTAAGACATTGTAATATACTTAACTGCCTTGTTCAGATGATTGAGATTGTCATTGAACTCTCATTTGTTGATCTTATATATATTGTTCTGAGTAGTTTGAACTGTATGAAAAATAACACTGTTTAGAGCTCTGTAAATGAAAAATGAGAGAATGATGAAAGACAATGTAAATTGAAATCTCTGATCTTCAAGCTTTGTAAATGAGAGCAGATTGACTGTAATATTAGAAATATAGTGAACATTCTGTAAGTTAACATCATTATTCTCAATCTTCAAGATGATAGTCTCAATCTTCTTAACAAACTCAGTTCTCTCAGTTGCAGAATCAACAGAGATATTATCATTAAAAGATTTGATATTTGAAAAAGAATAAAGCTCATCTGTCATGTTCAGACTTGCACATGTGTTCAAATATCAAGATCTAAAGAATGATTTTTCAGTGACTGTGAAAGAGAAATAGAACTCAATCTTTGTAATTACTGCATTTACTGCTGATTAAGAACTCATCAAGTTATTCTTCTTCTCTTTCTTCTTGTCATTCTTCTTGTCATCCTTCTTTTTCTTTTTATCAGAGTGTAAGATAAAACACCTGTCAACAGTATGTTTATATCTTCTGCAGTGAGTGCACTTTCATACAGATGTGCTTTTATTCTCATCTTTATTCTTATTCTTTTTCACAGTCACAGAATCAGTCTGAGACTGCTTTTTCTACTCAGTAATGATCTTCTTGAATGTATAATTAATCAGTTACTTTATTAAATTATTGATATCAATGTTGACAATGAGTCTCTGATCAGTGAAGAAAAACTCATTTAAATATATCTTGATAAATGATCTTTGATAATCTTGTAGATTGTTGAGAAAAAGATCATAGTATACATTCTCAGTGCTCTGACAGAGCTCTTTATAATAGATAATAAGATAGTGAAAATATCTCTGAAAAGTAAGATAATCATTCTTCTTAACTTGTAATTTTATCAATTTCTTGAAGATATTAACTCATTCTTCTATCAGTGATATTGTATATTCAACATTAATCTTGTCTCACAGAGTCACAGCATTGTCAGTTTTTAAGGTTTTAATAGTGATTTAAATATTTTTAACAAGACTCAATAGTATATATCTATATAGAGACTTAGAACAGATTCTTCACTTCTCAGAATTAATATAATATGTAAAAGAGAATTCTTATTAAGTTCTTAATAGAATGTTGATTTTATTAATAACTTCTGTATCAGTCAATATATCAACATATCAGACTTTATAATTAGAGTTATTAAATATAATCACTGATTTAATATCTAGTACATATTTGACTTTCTTCTGATATTTCTGTAACTCATTTCTCATAGTATCTCTTTATACAGAGACAGATGTAGTGAGATATTAAGTGATTTCAGCTGTAGCTATCTGATTTCATAGTATTATCTGTATAAGATTCATAAGATTGCCTGCAGTGTAATAGATAGATTGATTCAGATCATTATTAAAAGTCAGTATTCTGAGAATGAGAGATAGTGAAGAATTCAATGAGTTGAAATAAACAGATTCTGTAGATAAATATTAACTCTGCTTTTCTTTATTCTGAAGTTTCTTCATTATCTCATCATTAAATTTCATACTCTGATGAAAACTAATCTCAGTCTCATCTTGCAGATCAGAAGTCTTCTTATAATAAGTAATTATTCTATTAATAAGTTGTCTAGTGAAGTATGTAATTCTGAGTCTTGAGCTAAACTCTGAAGTAATAGATATATCACTTATATTAAGATATATAAAAAAAAATAAAAAGTGATATTCTTCACAATGAAGAATGCACTTTCTTAAAAAAAATATAAAGTATATAAATCTGCTGATTAGCAGATTCAGAGAAAATGAAATATCTCTAATAAAGAGTGAGAGTCTTTTCAAAAAAGATGAACTATCTGTGTTAAAAAATGTTGATACAATGTTCTAAAAAGAAAAATGTGCCATTCAGGCTATAACCTGTAGAATAGTTGAAGATTGTGTATTGATAGATCTATCTACAAGAACATAATATAGTGGTGGGTCACGTGATCTAGTGGGATCGCTAACCGCAACGGCCGTAAGGGCCAACAGATTATTACTGTATTGTGCGAGGTCAGAGTCATGATTATGTAACGAGGTCAAGTGGCGCACTTAGCGAGGTCAAGTTTTCTGTATACACAACCTTCAACTATCCTACAGTTAGGTGGTTGATTATGTTATCCATCTAGTGTTGCGCATTTTAGTGCTCGAAGTGGACATGTCAGCACTAACAAAATAGCAGGGGAAATTTTCTGTCCGCCCATCTCGTTATTCATGACTGGTCGGCGTAACGTTATCTTCAAATAGAGTCCGTCGTTAGAGAGCCTCGTTGCACTAATTTTCCAAGTGAAGCTAGGCTGATCAGACTCTCAGTGTGTATACGATGAAGAGAAGATTCAAGAATGCATTATCAATAATTTATCAGAGGATTACCCCCACTCTATTCCCAAAGAGGAGGAAGGTCAAAAATAAAGCAAAACACGTGTAGTAGAGTTTTCTGGCAGTACTACCTAGGTATGTTCTGATTGGTCACATTATAGTTTCACATGCAAGCCTAACCTTACCCTGGCGCTGGTTCGGAGCCGCAGCAGTCACATGTCAACCATCCATTCAACCTCGTTTTCTTGATCGGGCTTGGGGGAAATCTCACAAACCTCTCCTTGATCCATCTTTCTCTTGTTGGATTTGAGGTCGTCCCCTGGCTTTGTTATCTATCCAACAGCATCCGCTTGTTGCCCTCCCATACTGAGATCCGAATTGTAAAGTTGTGCGTGTGTGGCCGTTGCACAACTCGCTCCCTCTGCCGACGTGATTAACCCCCCAGGCTTCTGCTTGTTGATATCATTGATATCACAACGGCGAATTCTACTTGTCAATGACACTACCGCCTCTCTGGCTTGGATCTAGTTTTCATATGAGGGACAGAAATTTCGAAGGCATTTACGATTTGACAATAATAGCCCAACCGGGCTGGGCATAATAAGCCCATCGCTGTCCTCATAACCCAATTGGCAACCATCCGATCGCAATCACATTCCCAAGCGGCTTTCACGTGCTAGAGAGAGGAATCGGGCTTGTCAAGGGAACCTATCAGGGGGACCTATTAACTACGCCACGATTGCTAGCCGAATATGACATCGCAAACGGAGGATTCGCCTCTTCCTCAGCTTCCTCCGTATCCTGATCGCACTGTTCAGCCTACATCTACAAATACTACTGCGGCCACTTCTTCCGGATTGTTGACTGCGACTCTCTCAACTCCTGCCAGAATGGTAGTTTCTGGTGGCCCTACTCAAAGGAAGATGGATAACGAGCAACGCAGCCGCCGGGCGACTAGTGCACTTTCGATGGATGACATTGAGGCGGCCCAGGCGCTGGAAGGCCTTCGATCAGGTCAGTTCACGGCATTGATTCAATTCATGAAACCAACGAAAATATTTAATTCTGACTCTGCCTTGATTTTCATAGATTTTGTTCACTCTCCAGCATCGTCTCGTGGTATGGACCCGTCCTCCCAGCCAACAATACCTCCGCCTGGACAGCAGCGACAACAACCTCCATCTCCGGAGCCATTACTATCACTCCTCACATCATCTCACCCCCTTCTTTCTTCCGCCATAAACAGCTCCGTTTCTGTCTATACGTCATCCAAGTCTTACTCTCCAAGGTTCAAATACGGAGCTGAATTTTTGGAGCGAAACATCGGATCTCCTGTGGTGAAAAAAGTTGGCTCCGTCGGCAAGAAGACTGGTGTCGAAGGGGGCATTCGTTGGGCACTGCAAAGGCGTCGGGCTGGTGACGACACTGCTGCCGATTCAGAGAATCCCGACAAACGGCGGAAGATTCGAAATACCAGCACAGACATGATAGACGTAGAGAGAGGGATGGCAGAGCTAACCCCATCCCACACAAGGAGATCGTCCACTGCAGAATCCCTCCCGCCATATGACGATCTTTCATCTCCGAATTATGAAGAGCTGGCCCGGTTGGATAAAAAAGCTTCAAACAACAACCAATCTACGTGGCAAAGCCGACTTATGATCTCTACCTCTGGTCTTGGCGTTGCCATGAGCGAAGAATCCCTACGCAGCTTAACTTATTGTCTAAGCTGGCTTCGATGGGCGAACGGTCGTCTGGGTAATTCAATAGTATCCCTGAAAAAGGTTCTTGAAGAGTACGACTCTTCAAAGAAGGATCAGTCGTTGGACGACGCTGCGAATGCCGAGGATAGATCACGTAATTCCACACGCCTTTTAGAGCAGATACAACAAGTGAAAGGAGATATATTACGCACCCTCAGACAAGTGGTGGATGTGGTTTCTAAATATGCGGGTGGCGCACTTCCCGAAAATGCTCGACATCTTGTCCGCAGACATCTCACATCCCTCCCCCAACGCTTTCGGCTTGCATCCACCATAACCACACCCGCAGATGGCTCTGGCACAGAAGCAGATATGACGACTAGTGCACAGCGTGTTCTAGTTCTCGCAGAGGAGGGATTGGATATGATGGCTCAGGTTAGTGGCGTGGTCAATGATACACTCGTCAGCGCAGAAAGTTGGTGCGAAAAGTTGCGCCGGCCCAAGCCCTCAAGAAATGAACCGACGTCTGCATCTGATCAAGCTCCGATGGCGTTAGATAGCAAAACACCCGTTCCTGGGTCTTCGCCACCGAAGGACGTTGAAATGACCGGTGTGACGGAGAAGTGTTGAGTCATTTGGCGATCGACTTGTTGGCGTACACAAAAATACCTTCCAACCTCAAACCACCTAACCCCGACACCAACAAAAGAACTGCATGCGCTGAATCCAGCTGGGCTGACGTTCTTCGCGACTCCTCTTCATCATCTGATACCCATCTTACCACATTTATTATGCTCCAAGCTCCGCCCGCAATAAAAACAAGCCTCGATACAATGCTAGACCCATTTTAATCCCCACAAATATTTACCACTCCATCATCCCTACAAATTTCGCGGATGGCGCATAAAATATCCCCATTGCCGCCTCAATTCAAATAAAGCCTCCTACTTTTATCCCCGCTTTTTAACCAAACCGAACCTACCCCAGGCATCGTGACGTTTCACTTCATTCTATGTTGCGCAATTCTGTTTAATCATGTGGCAAATGGGCGAATTCTTCTTTTTATATATATTCTCCGTTTTACTTCATTTTACAGTATCGACTATTCGTGGATTTCGGTTTTTTTTTTTTTTTTTTTTTTTTTTTTTTGCGATTGTGATTCCAAACGAATATCTGGGGCCCTATACACTCATTTCTTTTCTCCACCGTCCTTCCGGATTATGCACACTCTGCTATTCGTTGTGGTCAGCCTCCCGCTCATGCTTTCTCATTTCCTTACATATATGATAAATATTCGTTTTGCCTAAAAAAAAAAAAAAAAAAAAAAAAAAAAAAAAAGACATACGGATACAGGTGTGTATGCTGTTTGCTACAATATGGGATGATGTAAGAGTGTTGACTCTCTGGATACTTAGAATGGTTCTTCAAATGACAGATTTACGCGAACTCGCAGCGTGATTCAAAGGTTGCTTAAGCCAGCGTACGATTACAGGCGTACGCCGGCTTCTTATATATTGAATCTCGTACGCTAAATTAATTAGTGGCCGCTAGGGCCCCCTTTACATTCGTACGCTAGTAGTTCGGAAGCGGCCGCGTTATTATCCAACAGTCGTACATTCTTCTGAACCACATTCTCCCCCACCAGATTCGGTCACGCCCACATGACCATGTTGTATGCCCTAGCTTCATGCAGATTAGCTCACCACTAGTGTTTCACAATTATGTGATCTATTCCTGATTTGGCTAGTGTCCTGCATAGACTGGCCGCCGGGACCATGAATTTTACATTTGGTCCCATTTGGTCTGATTTCATACATTTCTTGATGTGAGTCCCACCAGGACCAAGTCTCAAAAAAATCTGAAAATGAACCATTTCTGAGAGAAATGATGTGAAAAATGATCAGATTTAATTCAAGAACAGTGAAATGAGAGTAATTTTTCAGAATAAACTGTGAAAGATAATCATTCTTTTAAAATCAGAATAAGACTGAGACTGAAGATTAAAATCAGTTTTATTCAGTTTATTCAGTGATTACTTATATAATCAGAATTTGATAATACTTATTAATAATACTTATGAAATAACTAAATATATTCTTGTGTAAGTTTATTCTTTACTTTCTTATAAAAACTATACTTCTCTGATATACTATGATCAGAGATATTAAACTATCTGATAATTTCATATTTTATAATTATAAGTTTCTTGATTATTTCTTCTTATAATTATTCTCAGTGATAGTAATAAATATTTTAACTTGAGTTAAACTTTTACTTCATTCTCATCTCTGTTAATGAAATTATTAGAATATTATATATTATCAGTGCAATAGTTGAATATATACTCTCAACAATTTTTTATAACTCTAGAATTGATTTAATATATAAATTTATTAAATTATCTTGAAAATAGCAGTTAAATTCAGTTTTATAAGTATATAGTTTTATCTGATTTTCAGTTGTAATCAATGTATATAAGTTCTATTTCAAAGTTAGTATTATAGTTCTATGTAATATAAAGTATTATTAAAGATTATTACTTACTAGAGAATTATATTTCACTGTCTTTATATCTTGAATATCTACTCATTCAAATCTCTGATAGTTAATATTATAGTAGTCTCAGACTAATTTAATATATAAGTCTCATTTCTTCTCTGTTCAATCTTGAGAAGTGTAGATATTAACTTAATGAAAGAGATCTAGTAGAGCTGCTATAGCATAGTACTCTGTAAAAGATTGTTTCATTTTACTGTAGTAATATACCAGTTTATCTCTTATAGTAATAATAGCCTGTGCTATAGTATTATCTCAGACTGAATTTCTTTTTAAGTGATTCAACTGCTTCTCAATATAAGTAAATAAACTATTATACACTCATCAGACTGACTACAGTATTAATATATAAGTAATTAAGACTATCTTTATTATCTTATAAAACTGAAACAGTAAATTAATCACATATTTCAACTGAGTTCACTTTATATCAGAAAGTTTCAATATCTGAATCTTTTTCTGATTAGAGTATTACACTTAATGATCAATTATCTGATATAATTAAAGAGTCTGAACAGTTATCTTATATATTGAACTCTATTATATTCTAATATTTTATATCATATTCAGTGATATGACTGATTTATTTATTTATTGAATATCATGAAATCATTATTATTATTTAGAAGAGATATAAATTACATTAGTAATATTTTAAATCTATGATATTTAAATTATTAGTCAATCTATTCAAAATTAACAGTAGTATTATTAAAAAGTATTATTAAATAGTAATATTAAAAAGTATTATTAAAAAATATTATCTTTTATAAAATAAATATAAAAGTTACTTGAGTAATCACTTTTATCTCATTCTTATCTCAAGAATCAGTCATCTCATTATTCTTCATCTCAATATTAAGATTCTTTGTCAGTGTTTACATTACAAGTTAAATCACATGAGTAATACAGAGAATATAACCTTGTTTATTATTTTAGAAATACAAAGTCAATTTTTACTTCAAGCTCTTTATTATAATATAGTTATTCACAGCATTGTCAGTTGTAATTATAAGAAGACTGAGACTAATATCTTAATAATTATTTTTAATCACAGTTATTAATATCTCTATTATATAATCTTCAGTATGACTACTGATCAATGATTTAAATTCAATTAATATCTCTTAATAAGTTCAGTTCTCATCAATGTAATAACATGTAACTCTTATAAATGTAAGATTATTTATACTAGTTCATATATTCACTGTAAGAGACACTCTTCAATGATTCTTCAACTCTGATTCTAGATATTGTATATTAACTTTATAGTATATCTTGAGATTGAACTGAAGACAGAATTGATATGAAATATAAAGATTTGAATTAAGCATTTAAAGAAGTGTTCAGAATTTGAGATTTTCAATTGATTAAAGAGAAAGATTCAGAGATATATATATATAAAGAAATTATTCACAGAAGTTATCAGATAAGAGTTATGAAATCAGAGTACTAATATAAGATTATTTTCACATGATTTTCTTCAAATTAGAAAGTTAGTATTATTAAAAATTATTATCTAATAGAGTAACTTATCAGCTCAGTAGTAATTTTCTAATTATTTTTCTTTTATTATCTGTATTCTGATGACTTCAGATATCAGGAAATTTCTTCAGAGTCATGATTAGTTTATAATGAATATTTCTGAATGAAGTTACAGTGATTATAGTAGAGAGATAATACTTCAGTAATCTATAATGCAATCTGTTGATAATTATTTCATAGTTTATCTCAATATTTGTATTGAGTTTTTCATAAATTTTGTGACCTGAAATCAGATGTGAAGAATGAAGTGATTATTTATTATAATTGAAAGAGAGCATTCTGTGTTGAATTATAAATAATATAGACTTTGTGATTTACAGTGATTTCTTGAAGAGTTTATGAATCTTCAATAGAAGTAAAAGAAGTGAAAGAAGTGAATTCAGAAGATATGATAATAATTTGAGAAAGATGATAATTTATTTTCAATAACTGATCACTGATGTGTGTAAGAATAATTAATATAAGAGAAAATAATCTTATTTCTTAGCTTAGTTATAATTTTAGTACTAACTCAGATTGAATATCATTGATATATAAAAGTAAATAAACAATCTTGATGAATCTCTGTCATATTTCTTGAAATATATTAATATTGTAAAAGAGAGTGTTATCAAATTACATTATTAAATAATATTATTAAAAATATATTAATATTATGAATATTAATATTGAAAAAATGTTGATACTTATACATTATAGTGATTTGTGAATTATGATAGTTAAATATATATATATATATATATATCATTTCTGACTTGATTATAACTTATACAATAATTTTTGAAAACTCAAAATCAATTTTAATTATTAATAATTAAAAACTTAAACTTATAACTAACTAATATAAAAAGAAAAAAATCTACTTCTTCTCTTTCTCATTCTTCTTATTATTCTTTATAATTCACTTCTTATTCTTCTTATTCTTCTTCTTCTTCTCATCTGAGATGATAATCATCTCAAAATCACTCTTCACTATCTTCTCAGAGAAGAGTTTCTGCTGCTCTCTTTTAGTCAGATCAATCTGTATCTTAAAATCCTGCATTTTCTGATCTGCTGTCTCAGGTTTCATCTCAGTGATAAGCAGATTAACATGCTCAGAGAGCAGGGCTGTCTTCTCAATATTCTGAATCATGAAGTGCATTTGAGACCTGAATAAGATCTCAATTCTCTTCTTCTCTATCAGCTTCTGCTAATCAATTAGAGCACAGAAGTATTATCAAAAATTATTATCTCTTAATAAGTAAAAAACTTATCAGTTTTGACTTCTTTATCTCTCACTTTAATACTCTCTTAATCTTCTTCTATTACTGCTTATTTACAGTAACACTTTTCTTCTCTCTCTCTCTCTTTATCTTGAACTCAAATCATTCTTAAGACTTCTTCTGATCTCACTGCTGCTGTATGAGACTCTTTACTATTTTCTTCTTTAATCTCTCACAGGTGATGTTATCTGTATTATTTCTATACTTAGTTCAGTCTAAATCTATCAGAAGTTGTAAGAAATCCCGCTCCTCGCGGATTCTTTACCCCTATTCCTATCTCTTGTGTAATCAATAGAGCTAGCGGCCCTTGGCTACACACAACTATATAGACTGGAGTTCGCGAATACTATTCATAACTCAGCTTGAATGCTATTATACAATTGATCTCTACATTTATCTTTCTACTGTGAACACTTCTAGTAGTTAACAGTACATATCACATCAAGCTGCAAATACCTGAATAATTGCCTGTGAGCACTTATTCTTACATTTCAAGCTCAGTCAGTCAGCAACTATCTGTTATGACTGAAAGAACTAGAAACTCACACACTTCAACTCCTGCAAACTCTACTGCAGGCACTCAGAAGCAGTCACCTGAATCATGAATAACTCTCATGAAAGAAGTCTTAGAGAACTTATTAATCACTTACAGAACATCATTCTCTGCATCTGTGACAGAAGAACTCTTCAAACTCATGAACAAATCAATCTCAGTGAAGAACATTCTTGAGCATCTTTCACAGAATCAAGCTATTTTTCTACAAGAAATGCTTACTGTCTGTAAACACTCTCAAATCAAGTCTCTAGACATGATCTTCAGAGATATCTATAAACTGAAAAGAAACTTTCTCAAGCTGTGATCACTTAAGGTCATCTATCAAATCACAATCTATAAAAGCTTTTGTGAGTTTGTATTTGAAATTGACTTGCAAGTCTAGCTGTGTGATATAAAAGATGAAGAAGCTGTTATCTATACAATGACAGATCTCTATTACACTGAAGTCAAGAACTGGCTGAATTATCTAGAGAATGATTATAAGAGATCTCAATAATCTGTTCTCAAGACCTATCTAGAGAACAAGTTGAGAGACTTCACAAGCTGAACAGAGAACATCTGAGCTACAATCATCAACATTAGAAAAAGAGATGAGAAATCTGATGAAGACTACTCACAGCACTTCATGAAATTGTGATGTGAATTGAGATCTGTGAAAACAGAGCTCTGAAACAAGACCTGAATGATGATGTTTGTGAAGAGACTGAATAAAGATATACAGAACAAGCTCATTGAGTAAGACTCTAAGCTCTTAATTCTGAAGAAACTGATGACTCTCATTCATCACTTGCAGATCACTGTGAGAGTCACAGATCTGCAGAGAGTGAATCATCAACTGACTCTGCAAGAGTCAGAACAACAGAGAACAGATTTATCAGGAAAAGATGATAAGACACAGAGAGATTCATATCTGACTGCTGAGCAGAGAGAGAGAGCTTCATAAGCTTCTGTGAACAGAGTGTATAACAGAAAGATCAAGAAAAAGAGACTCTGCTTCATCTATTCTAAATCAGAACATCTTTGTGCAAACTGTCTGAATAAATTAAAATAGAAATTTGAGAAGTCACAGACAGAGTCAGCAACAGCCTTCTTAAGAGTCTTGAAGCTGATACCTGAATCTGTTGCTCTCTCAATGAAAATGCTTACTCATGAGAAGAGACTGTGCTGTGATACTGCTGCTCTGCAAGTATGAGAAGTATTAATAAACTCAGGATCTCAGGTCACTGTGATGTTTCTAAAGCTTGCAGAGTGAATGAGCTGAAAGATGAAGACTGAGAACCTGCTCTTGCAACAAGCAGAGTGTGAGAACTCAGATCTGAGAACTGAGAAACTTACAAGAATCATCTTTGAATTGCAAGATCTCTCTGAAATCTGAAGAAGATTTGCAGAAACTGTGATTATCACAGACATCACAGATGACATGTATTTAGAACTTGTATAACTTTAAAGACACAATTCACACATAGCTGTCTGTGAGTCAGGTTTATACTTCTGATCAGTGTTGGCAGACTCACTTATAAAGATAGAAGCAGTTGATGCTGTAGAGTTGATTAGAGAAGATAAGCTCATCTATGTAATGACTTTGCAAGTGTCTGAGAACCTTGCAGTCATGAAAACTGAGCTTCAGATACTAGAGAAATACTGAGATCTTGCAGAGATGTTCAGCTCAGCTAAGACAGCTGAGCTTTCTTCTCACTGTAAGAAGAATCTGATAATAGATTTGATAGAAGAGTAGAAACCCTTCTGAAAATCAATCTATAAGCTCTCTTATCATGAGACAGAGGTCTTGCAGATCTATGTGAAGAAGAATCTGAAGAATGACTTTATTCAATCTTCACAGGCCTCTGTGAGAGCCTCTGTGATGTTTGTGAAGAAGAAGAATAAAGATCTCAGATTGTGTGTAGACTATCACAATCTGAACTTTAAGATAACAAAGAGCTGCTATTCTCTATCTCTGATTGAGAATGTGATCAACTGTCTTGCAGAAGCTGTCATATTCACATAACTGAATGTAATCAATGTATATATATAACTGTGAATACAGTCTGAAGATGAATGAAAGACTGTCTTTAGAACTACACTGAAATTATTTGAATATCTAGTGATGTCTTTTGATCTGACTAATACTTCTGCAGTATTTCAGTCTTTCATCAATAAAACACTTCATGTATATCTGAATGTCTTTGTGATAATATATCTGAATGATGTAGTGATGTACTTCATGAAGAAGAAAGAACATACTGAGCATGTGTGAAGTGTGTTGAAGGTCTTAGATGAGGCAGAACTGTATGTTAAGCTTGTGAAGTGCAACTTCAGTGTCTGCTAGATTAATTTCCTAGAATATGTGATCATCACAGATGATATTCAGATGAAATCTTTGCAGATTGAGACTATTCTATCATGATCAGAGTTAACTAGTATTCATGAGATTCAGATCTTTCTAAGCTTTGTGAATTTCTATAGATGATTTATCTTTATATTTATGAGAATCTTCTTGACTCTTACAGACATGCTGAAGAATGAAAATAAGAAGAAGTCATTCTGTGAACAGAGAATGAAAAGATTATTGAGAAGAGAGAACTGTGAGAACTTTCTTATCTTAGAAGCTCACAGAGTCTTTGTAAGATTGAAACAGATATTCATGAATACAGTGATACTGTTTTACTTTGATCTCTTGCTCTTAATTAGATTGAAGACAGATGTTTTCTTCTTTGTAATTTCAGAAATAGTCTTGTAACTACAGTTAAATGAGAACTGGGTTTCAGTGATCTTTTTCTTGTGAAAGATGTAACTCATGAAGATCAACTATAGCATTCATAATCAGAAGCTTCTCATAATAGTGAAATTCTTTCATCACTGATATCACTACTTTGAGAGTCTTATAATAGTGATTACTGTTAGAACTGATCATGACAGCTTGCAACAGTTTGCTTCAATCAAGAAACTCTTGCAGTGACAGATTCACTGAGCTCAGAGACTGAGTGAGTTCTGGTTCAAGATAGAATATATCAAGAGAACTAAGAACTCAGCAGACAGACTCTCTCACAGATCAGACTATGTTAAGAAGATCAGGACAACAGATACAGAGAGACTAGAGAAGGCAGAAAAGCTTCATGAAATGCTTGAACTAAGTATTATAAAGAGATTGACTGAAGAGTCTCTCAATTCCCTGTGAGAGAAGAGAAGAGAGAGAGAGAAGAAGCCTGTACAACTACTCTTTATAACACTGAGAGTCAACACTCTGAGAATCTCTGCAAGAATTCTTGAAGAGAGTATCTATAATCTGAAGAGTTTGTGAGCTTTGAGAAGTACTATAGAAGACCTGATACAAGAGGAAACAGAGTATAAGTCTTTGTAAGATCTTCTATTCAGATTGTCTGAACTGCAACTGAAGAATAAATATGCTCAGTATATTCAGAAACTGCTCATAGCAGAAATCAATTCTGCAGAAATAAAGAATTGAAGAGACTTAAATAATCTCTTATAAAGAGAGAACTGAATTTATATGCTTATAAATAAGTTTCTATACATAGAACTCATTAAAAGATATCATGACTCTTCTCTAGCAAGTTATTTTACAGACACTAGAACTCATGAGTTGCTTATAAGAAAATACTTCTGACTGAAGATATGAGAATTTATGAAGAAGATAGTGAATTCTTGTGCTGTTTATCAGGATTCACAGATAGTGTGATTCAGATTATATGAAGAACTTACTCCTCTACTCATCTCACAGAAACCTTGGAAATAGCTAGGAATGAATGCTCTTATGAGTCTTTCTGAAAGCAAGAATATATATAATGTCTGCTTTGACAGTGTGCTGATGATAGTGAATTACTTTATCAAGATAACACACTTTATACTCACTTACAAGGACTTGAAGTCAAAGAATTTGACTCATATCTTTGTCTGTGATGTGATTCAGTTGTATGAATTGCCTGTAAACATTGTCTCAGACAGAGAATCAATTTTCACAGAAGAGTTCTGATCTGATCTAATAACTATACTGAAGATCTCATGAGATCTAAGCATGACTTTTCATTAACAGACAGATGATCAGATAGAATATCTGATGAGTATATTAAAACAGTATCTGCAGTGCTTTGTTAATTACAATCAGAATGACTGAGTGTATTGATTATCACTTGTGAAGTTTATATACAATAACTCAAAGCATATCAGCACAGGCAAAATCCTCTTTGAGATACTCACTGAAACTCATTCACAGATAATCTTGATGAACCCGCGAGAGTACACTATAGAGTGTAGTGATGTCTGTGAACAGGCTGAGAGAATTCAGAAGATTCAGAAGAAAGTCTGTGAATTCTTAAGAAAGACTCAAGAGTATCAGAAGAGATACTATGACTTTAAGCATATTACAAAGAGTTTCAAGAAAGATGATAGAGTCTGACTGAGTCTAGAAAACATCATCATATGAAGATCTAGTAAGAAGCTGAATCTCTTGTAGACAGAGTCTTGCAAGATTATGAAGAAAGTTAGCTCACAGTTCTACAGATTGAAACTGTCACCTGAGTTACAGATATACAATGTTTTTCATGTCTCTTTACTTCATGAATATAAGAAATTCTCAGAAGAGAACTCTGTGACTCATCACTCTGTCTGTGAAGCACTAGAGAGTGAAAGAGAATATCAGGTCAAAGAGATTATTGACTCAGAGAAGTGAGATTGTGAGCTCTGATTCAAGATTCAGTGATAAGAGTATTCTGATAAGATGAATAAGTTCACTTGAGAATCATTCAGATAGATAAGATATCTACAGAAGCTGAGACATGACTTTCATATTATAAATTCTGATAAGTCAGAATGATGTGATCTTTGCTAAGAATCTGATTGTAATAAAGATATTAACACTGTCATTTACAAACTCTAGTCTATAAGATAATGAGTTTCTACTGAGATGAACAGTCTGCAGTGTATATAAGGGAAGAAGAAAACATATTCTTATTAAAGCTAAAAAATAAGAAAATAAATAGAACTGTGAATGCAATTTAGAGATTAACAAAGAAAAAATAAAGAAAACTCACACTCACATTATCAACACTCATGACACTTAATCTTCTCACAACTATCAATTTCTCTCTTCAAAGAAGCAGAGAGTATCATACTTATGATACAGATAATTATTGCATTTGACACAAAGATTACTA